CCCTCACACGCCCTCGCCCTCGTCAGCGTCCCACGCCACTTCCCGGAGACTGACATCCAGACGGCGGGCGCGCGCAAAAAGAGGGCTCCACCCTTGACGTCTCGCGCGCGCAAGCAGTGGCACAGCGCCCTCGCGCCCGCCTTCGAGTTTGAGGCGTCGCCAGTTGGCGCGGACGGGCGCTGTTTCGGTGACGTCAGCGGTAGGAAGGCTCCGTTGTACTTACAGCACGCAAGCCTTGAAGCGATCTGTACTTCAGTTTTGTTCTCAGTGAAGGTCAAAATGTTATTGGTTATTGGTGAAGGTTCAAAATGACTAAATCCAACTTACGATGTAGCTCCCATTGCTCCCGTTGGAAACTTGGGTTCTGCTTGGGTAATTTTCTATCGATGTATTTATGCAGATCATATGATGGCTATTTATAAATCAAATTAAGTAATAGAGCGGACTGTTTCCAAAACGTATCACCGATCAACCCGACTAGCAAGCGTACTGCTTAAAACGGACCTGAAGAAGAACCAAGAGTAGTCAAATTGATCATTAAGAAGCTTACTATCATTATTCGATTCCATATTTATTGATAACGCATTTTTTTATTACAGTTGTTATTCGTTTCATTTTTAAATTCATGCGAATCAATAACTTTGACTATTTTTTTAACTACACTCTTTTACCAAAGTTGTCGAAATCCATACGTAATAAATACGAGAAAAGATACATTGACAGTGATATATAATATTTTCTTAATAGAATGAAATTGTGTTTTATCTTATCTACGATCACATATGTTTTACCACTACTCAATCATTCAAAATTATTGCTATTGATTTTCATGTCCTTGCTATTTCCGGATGCGAACCAACGGCACGTATTCTACTACTTGTGAGTCCAACACAAAAGCCGTCTGTGAATACAGTCAATTCTAGATCATTCAATGCGAGTTCGACAAACGATAGCTGCATATTACAGAACCTTCTTGATCTCTTCCAGGAACTTTTCCGTGAAACACGTGTGGTTTGGAGATTTCAATCAATCGCATCAATCAGCTTCTCAGATCCCTTTCGTGATTTCCCACTTTATACTCATACTTTCCTTCGCAAAGCGGCGATGGTCCGCGAAATATGCCAGGGGAGTTGGCACTTGATCATAAACATGCGAGCCCCCGAACGCGTCGCGTCCGAAGCCGGGGTAACGAGCAGACGTCTACGGCGGCGGCGGCGGCGGGGGCGGCGGCGGCGGCGGCGGGGGGGCGGGGTCGGCGGGGGGGGCGGGGCGGGGGCGGGGCGGGGGCGGCGGCGGCGGCGGCGGCGGCGGGGGCGGGCGGCGGCGGGGGGCGGGGGGGCGGGGGGGCGGCGGGGGCGGGGGCGGCGGGCGGGGTGGGTGGCGTGGCGGTGGCGGTGGTGGCGGTGGCGGTGATGGCGGCGGCGGGGACGGCGACGGCAGCGGTGGAGGAGGAGGAGAAGGGGGCGGCGGCGCGGTCTGCGGGATGCCTGGTGACGCGTGTCCCCGCGGGCGGCTGCTGAGCCAATGGCGCGAAATAGAGTGCACGCTCATGCCCAAAGGCCACGAATCAAAGGGGGCGCTCTTTACGACCTAATTGATGGGGAACTTTTCTTTAAATCTCGGATTGCGAACATCTGCGAAATGTTTTGCGTAGTTCGTTTTGATTAGTTTATGTATTTCAGAGTTTTGGCTGTTTAATTTCTACGTTCTTGCTACCGCTTCTTTGAGTTGTCTATCAACCAACTTGAGTTGCATTAAGCTCGGCTTATATTTCTTAAAGTTTAATGTGTTTTATTTACTCTTAAAAATAAAATGAATTTAAAAATAAAATAAAATTTGCTGCATTTTCAAAGCGTGTTTTTCTCTCTCCACCTCCCGAAATAATGACGCTATTGATTGATAATTTAGTTGATTGACTGATTGATTGAGTCTCCGAGCACGGTAACTGCTGTCGTCATTATTCCTTTCATTATTCTTTACATTTTCATTATTCACTTCACCAACATCATAGTGATCGGCTTGCGGGGAATTTTTCCCTTTCAGGTTTCTCCCCCAATAGGATACCACCCCACACGGTACCACCTGTAAGCTCCCGACATGTGTGTTAATGTAGTGCATGTAAATGTCAGTAAGAGAAGATGATAAGACAACGAAAGATCATGCGCTATCCGTTACCCTTTTGTTAGGATACTGCATTCGCCTGGTATTTATCGGATAAAACCACTGAAAACTACCGATCAGAGAAGTCAATCGCTAGAATTCTTCCCCAGGCAGTGACTGAATTTGACCTAGCTATTTAGCTAGAACCTATTTCAATAAATTTTACAAAATTCATTGTATTTCTGTTTATTTATATCAATTCATATGCTAATTACACTTCTTCACTTATTTTCAACTTCGTAGTCACTAGATGGGATAAATTAACTCCGAAACACGTGTATGGCTGTTTATTCTTTATATTAAACTAAATTTGTAATACACTTTGTGGTCATTATGGATTACTTCCATGGATCTCTCAGCAGTCACCACGGAATGTAACTAGTGGTACTAAAACAGCACCTACTTTCATGCAAAATTACACGATAAAAACTCAAATTTCCAAAAAATCTACATGAATTTATTTCAAGATATATCTTTAAGAAACAGATTTCATTAAGGGAAAAAACCTTTATCTAATATTTGAGTGGCAGGAAGACGCCGAAAAGTTTTTGAATTTTTGCAATTTTCACAAAATTAGAGCTACCAGCGAAAATTTAAAATTAAATCTCCGCCATTCTCTTAAACGTTCTTTACACTATTCAACAACAAAATTTAATCAAAAACGACGAAGCTTTTTTTTATGTATGCGGAACTTCATGTAGTCCCCCCCCCCCGAAAAAAAACTAAAATATCGGTTTCAAATTCAAGGTGCCGCGACATCAGCCAGATCTATTTGGAAATATTAATTTTTGAGAAAATCAGCTGGACGGTTTAGCCGCAAGCGTTGCTCACAGACGGACGGATAGACAAACGGACGGACAGACGGACGGATGAAAAGACGGACTGACGGACAGACAGACGTTTTGCCGGCATCGGATTTTTTGGTATTAAGCTCCCACAAAACGTAGATTCTGGCTACACCACGTATTAGAGAATTTTTTTAATTTAGCAACTGTATTTATTCACTTTTTCGTTACCAGGCCCTGTAATAAGAGCTTTTCTGCCGAAAATTCGCTGATTTTTCGCGCAACATTATTTAACTTTCTCTCTACTCCGTAGCGAGACAGTAAAAAATGACGTTTGCGGGGGGAAAGAAGTCCAGAAGCGTAGGAAGGTAAAGTTTACTCGCAATGACACTTAAGTGAATTCCAGCACCTCTTCAGAGAAATAGCATAATTTTTTAGACCCTATCTTTATTACAAGCTTCATCTCTCCTGCACCCGACAAAACTGCGTTGTACACTACTTCTCTTTTACTATCGAGTTTTATGTCATACGAAAGGGCAAGCGATCCCCGGTTTCGTAATCACCATAATATAATTCCCTAAGCCTTTTTCGCCACTAATGATTCCAAAGGAAATGAATATTAGCGTCAAAATGAATCTTTGTTAAGTTAAGGTTAGGAAAGCTCGGAAATCATCCACAACTTAAAATAAACAAGGTGGGTTTTGATTATAGATTCTAAAATATGGGTAATCGTAATTTTAGCCATTGAATGTGTGTATGTACTTGGAGCCAAAGCCCATGAACGGGCTCAGGCCTACCGGAGACGCCCCTACCTGGCGGCTATGGGTTAACGGGGTACGTGTGGCTAGCATGTAGACATCCCCACGCCGTATTCCGGTTTTCTCAACCTGAGAAGGGAATTTTCTCTTCGTCACACAGCAACGTATTCTGGGACTTAGCGAGGAAAACGTACACTATAGTCTTGGCTCGACCGAGAATAGAACCGGGGGCTGCGTACTGGAAAGCAACATTTTAGCCATTAAACGAGCTCAAAATTAATTATCAATTAAACATCCTGGGCAAAGACTAGTTTCGCTGCTATTAAAAAGCACCCACATGTAGGGAATACGTGTTTCATGAATGTGAGAATATGTTTGTATTATGAATGAGTGAATACTTTGGTGTTGAGAATAACCATCGAAGATCCTTTGGGAGTCCTTCTCCTTCTCAGAGGGATGGATGGTCTCTACATTAGAGGTGGTGTGTGCTCTCGCAGGGCGGACACGTCGCACGACGTGTGGCAGTTCGCCATCGTGGTGTTCGTGTGCCTGACGGGGTGCCTGCCGTGGCAGAAGGCGGGGCCCGACGACCCGCGCTACGTGCGCTACATGCAGTGGCAGGCCAGCAACAACGTCATCATGATGCCCGTGCGCCGCCCCAAGCTCTTCAAGCAGCTGTCGTCGCGCGCCCAGCGCCTCTTCCGCAAGTACCTGGAGCCGCGCCCCGAGAAGCGACCCAAGGGCCTGGCGGACCTGCAGCGCTTCCTGGACGACCGCTGGCTGGGCGGGCGCGTCAGCGCTGAGCGCGGCGGTGAGTGTTTTATTATTATTATTATTACTATTATTATTATTATTATTATTATTATTATTATTATTATTATTATTATTATTACACTATTATTATTATTATTATTATTATTATTATTATTATTATTATTGAAGGTCACATCAACTTCTAGGCGATTAGCGACCACTATTGCATGTAACGGTGTGGTAACTGTGAGGATGGCACGAAATGATGATGATAGGGGGTGAAAGGACGAACACAATTCGAGTACAACCATGCCCGAGGCGGGACTCGAGCCCGAGATGCTTCGGTTCGAGATCGCTCCTGCACTCCTGCCTTGGCGATCTCGGGCATCCGGTGGCCGGCCGACTGGCACTTTCGTTTTGATTTACTCACTTTTTTTAAGATTCTGTGACGACGACGACGACGACGACGACGACGAGGGCGACGGCGAGGTTCGTGGGAAACGAACAACTATGCTGTCCATGTGCAAAAAAGAGCCAAATCTGGAGCTAATCTACTGCCGGAAATTTATTTTAAAACCTTTCAATCGAGGTTCTAGGCCAAATATATGTTGAAAATTCACCAAAAAGGTTAGAAAATGTATTGGTACACAAGAAAAATTCTACAGAATCCATTTTTGGTGTTTTTTTAAATTATTTACATTGCTAATTCACATTCTTTCTACTGTTTTGATAAGTGGCATCATTGAAGTACTGGAGTTTCATTAGAGTATTGATTATTACCTTTCTTAATTAAGTCACAGAACAGTGAAAATAACGAGTAAAAACCTAATTTCTTGGTTCTGATTTCTTTAGACCTGAGTTTTTCTTTCACAAATTATTATTAAAGTCTGATAAAAACGACGTTTATCTCCTATCTAGAAAGTAAATATTAATTAGACAAATTTTACTGACAATCTAATTTATCGCAAAGCACGATTTTTCGACAGAGTGAGTTTCACATGTACATCGCCGTTCGTACGCAAAATTGCGACGAGAGACATTCTTGAGTAACACACGGTGTCGTGTTTGCAGGCGCCGAGGACGACGAGCTGTGCCCGTCCATGTACAGCTACCACAGCAGCGCCGAGGAGAAGGACAAGCTGCTGTTCACCCTGACGCAGTACGGCATCGAGACGACGGTGGACCGCTCGGCCAAGAAGGACCGCATCCGCGAGTGGATCCAGAGCAGCGTGATCGAGGAGGAGGGCGAGGAGGAGGCGGAGGACGAGGACGTGGAGGAGGAGCGCGAGGAACGCGAGGAGAACGGCACCTTCAGCCCGCGCCTGCCGCCGCGCGCGCAGCCCCTGTCGCGCCACGCCTCGGGCAACGACCCGGACCCCGACGGCCGACCCCTGCCACGCCGCCGCCGCCGCCGTCGCCTCCGCCCGCCCCGCCCGCCTCCGCGGCGGCCGCCGCCGCCTCCGTGCACTCGCCGCCCCACACCGCCGGCAGCCGCTCCGCCAGCCACTGAGGCCGGCCCTCGCGCCGCCGACGAGGAAATTGGAAGGCTTCTGCTCCGGCGTTCGTCTGCCATAGAACGCAGCAAACACGGAAAACTACTCACCAGAGCACCCGCCCGCTACAATCCTGAATGCAATCTCCTCCAGACACCAACTGAATTCGACCTAGCTAGGATCGAAAACCGCAACAGCCGAGACTCATTTCCTAGGATTTCCAGTCAGTCCCCACACCGGCAACGGATGTCACTGTCGGTCGTATCACTATCCCAGTCCGTCATGGGTTTGAATTACACTCAACGGCCTGCTGTCCAACCGGCGCGTTCAGTTGGTGTTCAAGATTAGAGTCATGTGAATCAAAATCTATTTTTAATCTGAATTTCACAGTCCCTTCAAATTTGCGTTCCCCACGCCGTCCCCTAGCGACCGTTTCGGGCCTCTCGGTCTCGATAGTGCCACTGGTCGATCAGTGGCCGCTACATCGATGCTGACGTGGACTACGGCCTGATGCTCGAAGGGAGTCGAGGTCCGGCCCTTCTTCACACACGATGTCGTCGAGAAAAGGACTGGAGGAATTCGTTGTCCTTCGGTAGCCTCGAGACACGGAAGCACTTCGTTTTCTTGTCGATATGTCTCGCGCCTTGTCGAAGTGTGCGCTGTTGCCTAAGCGTAGGTTGGTGTTATCGCCATAACACGCATTACAGGGTCCTTGCTGTTCCTACGTGGTTCTCTTAGGAGAAAATAAGAGACAAGCAACTTTCCCGGGAACAGCACAAACCGTACAGTATTGTATAGTTTTGAGACAAAGTGTGAAATATTGCCTTTGAAGTTCTTGTCAAAATAATCTACATTAATATTTGGTGTCGGCTATTGGATCTACCTTAGTGTCGATTTGTGAACTGTGAACCTGCTCGCGCTTTTCTGAGCTACTCGGAAAGTTAGTTCACAAAATACTATTTTACTATAACCATTTTCTCACTCTACGTACTGAGTGATTTAAGGGCAATAATCTGTTGACAGTGGAAAATTTCGTCAAGAAATGTTACTAATGAAACTCAAGTGTAAAGCAACTTCATTACGGAAAGGAACGAGAATTTGAAATTACTGCATTCTCAATATCGGACGTGATATGTGAATTTCTGAATGAAGTTTTCAAGAGAAATGTCTCCCCTCTGCGAGTTTCAAAGTACATAGTAAAATCTCGCAACTAAGAGGTATAGCTGTGTCTGTTCCAGAAATGAAATGTGACGTGCATTGAGTTGTTTCCATTCATTTTTTCGCGAGTCAGTGGCTCTAGGAGTGAGTGAATAAGAAGTTATGAAAATGTATTTGACCACGTTGATAAGCCATCGCGCTTGATGTCATTGGAAGAAGGCAGTATCTAAATGATACTCTCTTCGAGATGATATAAAAGTGATTCGAACCCAATGTGTCGGATATTTCAGAGACAATCCGCACAGGTTAACATCTTGTGAACTAATACAACGTTGATTAAAAGACGAATTAATTTTTATGCCATTGTGATATCCACGAAATCGATGCATGTGATAAACGTTTATTATTACAGTGGATTAATTCCCATAACTCAGACAGTCGTTGCTCTTGGATTTTTCTATGTTGAACGACGAAATTGTATCAATCTGGCGTTTACAATTACAGCACTCTTCAAAGAAATATCGTTCCTTCTTTGTGAGTGAAGACCGGAAAATGTTCAAATCCTGGGTGACGTTTAGATGGCATTTTCTTGAAAACATGCAATTGGGAGCAAGTGATTACTAAATTGCAATAGAGCCTATTAGGGAGCTGCTTTCTCTTAACCTTTTGTATCTAGAAATGTTAAATGTCTTTCATTATCCAGAGCATGTGATAAAAACTTCTCAAACACTCATTTGACTGTACACGTAGGCTTCCGCGGCTCGAGTCCATTACTTCTAGGCTGTCCGGGTGAATAAAATATAACACCGGAGACGGAGCTTTACTTGTCAGTACCCTGAAGAAGCCTGCGACATGACAGGCGAAACGTCGGTCTATCTTCCAACGACGCGGCGTCACCCGGACAGCCTAGAAGTAACTCATTTGACTGTGCCAATTTTTTTATTTCTAAAAAACTGTTACAACATCATTCACCCTAACACGTTGGCAATAAAGGAAAATTTTAATTCGTCTTCCATGATATTTAAATACATGGGTAAGAAATAGGCATGGTTATGGTTTCAATTTTACTATTGTGGTAAAAACAGCAACTAAAATGTTAAGTGCCGATGATGTGTAAAAGCACAACATTTTTAGATTTTCTTATTTAATCATATAGTGATCTTTGGATATGCTTCCAAAGAAGCAAACAATGGTGTTCTTTGTTATATATTTAACTAAATAATCGTAAATAAAATTAATTTGTGTTGTTTTCCTAAATTTTCGCCTGAAAACAAGGAATGAATTTTTATGACTTAAGTTTTATTTTAATGTACATTTATGGATCAAATGACAAACAATTTTAATGGCTGGTTGTTTGTTAAAATAAAGCAGTTACTTTTGAACGTTTTTAGTTTTTTCTTTTGCTGCTCTCTGATTTTTCAAAACGTTCTATTTTTTCAAGGTTTATCGCTTAGTTATTAAATATCAAAAGTCAGAATATTTGAAATAACATTTCAAACAATGTTTAAAACTTCAATAAAATAAATGTATTAGTTTATATAGAATGTTGCCAATGAACATGTTCAGACCATTTAACATTTAAACCTCTCGGGAGTTAATGTTAATTTTACGTATTTCGTACGTATCTTACGTTACGTACTCGAATTTCCCCAAATATATCGATTATTATATCACTGACCGGTGGAAATTTATCCTCAAGTCTTAAATTGGGTGTAAATCGAATAATGCAGTGTAAATTCAAGCACATGTATATCTCAGTTCTTCTTGAGATGTATAGAACCACAGCACCCTCTAAGTAATGGCTTCGACTGTCACAGAAAGATATGTAGAAGACAAGGTATTAGAGTGCAGTGTTTATTGATTCTAGTAACGATAAAAGAACCCATATAGTTCATAGAAGAACATTTTTTTGCATTATTTTTCAATTTATTGAATTAGTCTCAAGTACAGGATATTCATTAGAAAAACCCAAAATTATTATTTTTTAATAGTAACTTATGGAAACCCCGCATTATATTGAAATCAAATTATAGACAGAAAAAAGAAAACTTCGTCATATTTTTAAATCATTATGTTAATACCAATACCACGAAAACGAATTAATGTAAATCGCTATGAATGCTTTCTGAAACTACGTTCTTAACCAGTTATTGGTTACAATTAAAATCATTGATGGATATGTTTGCGGACCATTACATATACAATACAACCAATGAATACTATTTCAATACATTTTATTTTTCTATCAAGAAAAAATAACAACGTACCCTGTAAATCATAACATTGTCTGTAAATAATATAAAGATTTGCGTAATAACCAAAAAAGACATTTTTTTAGTTTGAGTGTCAACTCCTTGAGTCCAGCTACGATTAACGTTTTAGTAAAGAAAAACAATGCAAAATTCCAATCCACAACTACGTGACGTTAAAACTTTTGCAACTTACCAGGCGCATCCACGAAGTAAGTTTTCTTAGGTCGCCAACAAAAGAACACAATTTCATAGGGAAAAGTGTATTTCAGATTTAGCACATGTTGCACTAGTTTTCAACATAATCACCACCAGAATTGCGACATTTGTCATACCGTAGGATCAACATTTGTGTCTCTGGGTCGGAGAAGTCTACCGCCTGAGATAAGTACCAGTGTTTGACTGTCACCTGCATTTCTGTGTCACTGTGATACGAGTAATTTTGCCCGGATAGGAATAGGGTAAGGGCTTGAGAGGTAAGAAATGTTGGAAATTGCCACGCGAGATCTGGACATTAGAATTCCTGGTCGGCCATATGGTCCGCCATACACGGCTCGGCTCACGATAGATCTGCAATAATTCCGCTGAAAGGAGTTTGACCATTTCTCTATAGCTTTTCTATATAGACTTCTACGACGCATGGACACAAATGTTGATCCTTCGGTAGGAAGAATGTCTCAATTCTGGCAATGATTATGTGGGGACGTAGTACAACATGTGCTGTATCTACAAAAATAAAGTTTTTCCATTAAGTTGTGCTGTTGGTGACCTAAGTAATTTACTTTCATAATTCACAAAGTAAATTTACTGGGACCTAGTAAATTCTAAATACGCCTTGAATCGGGGAAATCTACAGCGCTTGAGTTCTAAGTCCTCAGTACGTAGCAATGCTATATCTGAGGAGGCGCAATTCATTTTGACGTGACACGTGGATCACTCGGCGATTCTCAGATATATATTTGTTTTACAAGTGTCCACGCTCTACGCCGCACTCAATACTCGTAGCTAAGATTCAAATTCCATTGGTCCGACGGCTGTCACTAATGATCCTATGTATAACGATTTGAATGTGTAAATATCGTAATATTAATATTTTAATTAAATTATAGTAGTTAAATACGACTGCAGCGTTACCAAAGAAATCTTTTAATTCTAAGGAATAGTTTAAATTCAGGTATGTTTATTGTACATGTTTACACTCTATCATATTATGTTTAATGTTATTTGCATTCGGTAAGTTCAGAAGAATGGAGAGAATTTTGGTAAAATGGTCTGTCATCTCAGAAACAAGGAATTTGAATTTTACGACACAAACATCCTTAATAGTATTTCGTATAAGAGTATTTGTGCGTTTGAAAGATAAAAAAAAAGATGCAACGCTTTCGCAGTTGACCATGGTGGTCATTAACTGAAGCACTTTTTCTCAGTACCTCACATTTGTGATTGAAAAGAAAACGTACTTCTTCAAATTTTTGTGTAGATTTCTGGCCTGGACTGGGCAATTTTTGCAACATTCTGTATATAATGCTATTTGTATGTCAACGACGCTCAATGTATCATCAAGTCACTGTCTCCATCATTCCATGTTCAGTGTCTTAATGTAACATTTTGATGATATATAGTCATAGCCAATTTGGTCACCTATTCACATGTCATAAGAATGACGAATAAACGATTAAAATGTGAAAATTTTCAAAGAAAATATCTTCATTCAACATCAATGGTATTTAAATTCAAAAATAAAGTATCTAATTCCAAAAAGAAGGAATCTCCTCATCAAATAAATCGTATTTAACCATATATATGGCAATTATTCCTTGTAAACAATGTTTTGATTCTTATTGAATAATTGTATTTTATCTTATATTTATCGTTTATTAAATGTGAGAATGTGACTTTATATTCATACTGTCTTGAGGTACATATCATAATTATTTAATATTTGCATCAATTTTCTACAATGCTGAAGGGTATCAGCAATATCTTATGTGATTTTTCATATTGGTTTTACAATTACTATGTCAATTATGTAATAAATAATATGTTCAAATAAAACATTTATAGTAAACAAGTTTTAATTCAATGTTGACTTTTAGGTACATGAATCACATTCTTGACATAAGAAATTTTAAAAGTACTTTTCAGGGCTAAAATAAATCATTGCAAAGTATGACATGCAACAACATTGTATACTAAAACAAAAAAATCAACACACAATTACAATACTGAACTTTAATTCATGTGAGTTTGATCTGATGACTATTGAAATAAGAACTTGGGCGATTCAACATACGTATATTTGAGAAAGGACAGAAGAAACAACTAACATTGTTATCAGCAATTAGGAAAAGTTTAGTAATTGACATACGAATTACATTCTATTTATCTTTCACATAATGTCAGTAACGAGTTTAATGGTAAATCAGTCTTGTAGAGACCCCGAATTTCACATTTTGTACAAGAAAATAACCTTCTATTTGATAAAGATGCTCTCAAGCAACGTAAAGTTTTCAGGGCCGAATGGGGACCTTTACTTGCCTTCGTAGAGTCGCTGCTGCAGTAAATTGCATTCCGTTTCTACGCCAAAATGTTTGTCTGGTTATTTTCCTTTTGCACATACCGACCCTGAAATATTCTGTTTCTAGTGAGAAATGTTAGCCACTATTGATTCTCATTCAGAATGAAAAAACCTTGAAAATATTGCGGATTCACCCAGAAATTTATAAGAATAGACTGACTAAGATTTTTTTTACTGGTTTTGCACAATAGCAATGAATATAGAGGCTCTGTTCGTTGTACCGTCGGTGAACATTGAACTCATCGGATTCACTCGACTTGTACTCGTAGTGAAAGCTAACAGGGAATGTATACTCTCTGAGAGCAACCTTATCTCGAAAATGCGACAGTGTAACCAAGGCTTTGGAGTGAAGTGCATCATAGTATGAGCGGTTAAAAATGTTCAGAAAAACTCTTCCCATTTCTCACGCTGTCCATCCTTGTTATGAAAAGGTAAGAGAATCTGGAATATATTCCAGATGTTAGGCAAAATGTTTACACTGTCTCGCGCTATTAGTGTTGTCCGCAGGTAAGATAAATTTGCTCAATTGCTTAAGAAATGCTTAAAATTTGATTATTTTTTACTTGATTTTCTAATAATAAATGCATAAATAAATAAATAAATTCGAAAAATACGTTTTGGTCGGGGCCTGACAAGTGTGGCAAGTACGAACTTCCTCGCCCGCCGACACAAGAATTACTGTCACATTAGCACGTTTCGAAGATTTTCATTTATTGCATTTTTATTTTTTTCATTTTACTGAGATTTTTATTTCAGACTGCAATAGGTCAATTATTTTTCATGAAATTGGTATCTAAATACGACTGTAAAAAGTTGGGTTTTAAAAACAAAAAAGCAGGATTTAAACAAAAAACTTCCTTTTAAAAAAATTAACCCCGAAAAGTAATTCCAATAAAGTATTTTGACCGCCAAAACCTTATTTTAACCCCCTTTTCTAACACAACAACTTCTCATTAACTCGAAAACCTTATTTTAAACTAATTGAAGAGCCGTACGATGTCCCGATATTTATTTGTCAGCATCTATTAGAGAGGGAAAGGAATGTCCTCATTCTGTATTGTATCTTCGCCCTTCCCTGGCTCTGTCCGGCGCTGTTCTAGCCTATCCTACCCGTTCAGCTCCATATTGTTCCTCCCCCTCCATGCCTCGCCTCACCCACATGGTTGCAACGGTCGGGTGTAAGCAAGAGCAATTTTGACCATCACTTACCAAAAGTCTAATTGCGCTATCGGTGTGAATTAAATTATACTTAGTAAGACCTTTATAGGATTTTAGGAACGTTTAATAGACATTGGTAAATTTTCTCTCCTTTTTTAGGTATTCGCGAAAAATTAAAAGAGTGCACACCTCAATTTTGTTTTAAAGTGAGATATAGGCCTAAATAGGTCCACTAAAACTTACGCCAGTGACTTTTCTGTGGTGTTGAAGATCTCTATCTACAATACTGTTGAAGAAAATACACACATGTATAAACAAATATTCTCCTTTGAAATAGTAAATAATTTTAAAAAGTTCAGAAAAAATAATCTAAATAACGCTATACAAAAACATCTTTTAGATTAGCTCGAACTGATAGATACACGGGCAGACAAAAACTGTAAACTAGTGGTGCTAAAACAGCACGTACTTTCTCGTCCGTACTTTGACGCAAAATTACGTGAAAAGTACTCAAATTCTCGAAAAATTGTACATGACCTTATTTCAAAATCTTTCTTTAAGGAATAGATTTAACTAAGGGAATAAATATCTATCTGCATAATTGTAGCTGTAGAAAGAATCCGAAAAAAATGAATTTTTGCAATTTTCGAAAAAAACGAGTTTTTAACGAAAATCAGGTTTGCACCACTCTCTTAAACACCCTTCACACTATCCAACAACAAAATTTAATAAAAAACGATGGAGCCTCTTTTTTGAAGATTTGGAAAGTGCCCAGGAGCTTCACGTAAAGTACCACCCAAAATTAAATATCGGTTTCAAACACAAAGGGCCGCGACATTAGCCAGATCGATCGGGGAGTATCAATTTGGGAGAAAATCGTCTGAACGGTTTAGCCGCTAGAATTGTACGCAGACGGACAGACAGACGTTTTGCCGTCATTCGATTTTTCGGTATCAAGAGCTATCAAAACATGGATTCTGGCTACACCAAGGGTTAGAGGATTTTTTTTTTTTTTTCATTTAGAAACTGGATTTATCCACTTTTTCGTTACCAGGGCCCTGTAATAAGTTTTTCTGACGAAAATTCGCAATTTTTCGCGGAGCAATATATCACTTTCTCTCTAATGTGTAAGCGGCAGCTAGAAAGTAAAAGCAATAGAATGGGTTTTATGTCGTGTAAAATATAATCGTTGGAGTGTATAAAAAGGTAGTTATTTTGAAATAAGACAATTTTAATTAAATGCACAAAATCGCTGTTTTAGCCAATAGCCTTATTTTAATCCAAAAACCTTATTTTAATTCAAAAACCTTATTTTACCAAAAGATTAATTTAACTGTACAAACAAATTACCTGTACAAACAAATTAACTTAAATTAATAAGTATGAACTGTTCGATTTGAACGCCGCGATGTGGATTGAAGAAACGGCAGCTAGTTATTTGGTAAGCCTTAAATCCTCATTTTCGTCGCTTGTTCCTCAATTTAGCTCTCAACACTTGCATCTCTGAGACAATAAACGCGGAAAGTCTTCTGAGTAAGATATTTTAGCAACCCGAACTTCAATAACTCGACACAGTACCATCAAAAAGAATTTTTTTTCACAAACAGCCAGGGCATCATTAAATACCATCCATATGCCAAGTCCGAAATCGAAATTCAAATACACATAGCAACCAAACTACTAAAATATTCAATAAGTTACAAGAGGCGAAACACAATGTCGCGCGAGACAAACATTTGTAGAGATGTTTATGGCGGCGGCACGCCGCTTATATTCTATCAGCCGTGTGTCCGAAAGGCCTCACGGCTCCTCTATGATGTCACCAGAGAGTATATTTGGATATATATGGATGTCACTCGGCCCGGGGCTGCATCGCACCGACCCTCGTCGCTTCCTGCGTGAGCCGAGGACTCCGCCGCCATGACGCGAACAATAAGTTTGGAATATGATACAAATTGAAATGAATAAAAAAAGGGTTATATGGGGTCTATGAAAGTTACTCCCCTTCTGACTTATTAGTCGTATGCAGTAATATCTCCCACTTTAATGGGTTTAGGAGTTTTGCTGCTTGAAAACATGAAACTATGTAGTCAAGTATATGAATTGCTTATAACTACTATAATTAGCTATTAATTCAAGCTAAGACTGCTTTCAAAGTAATTCAGAGAATAATGACAACACTGAACTCGTACCTTATAAATAAATAGAACATCTTGTTTTATAGCATGAGTGAAAAAAAATTATTCACAAAACTTTTGTGTTAAAGATGCATACAGTATTTATATTATTTAGGTATACTTATGTTTACTTTCTCAGAACGGACGCTTCGTTATCTGAGGGGATTCTTATCTGCTAACTCATGGCGTGGCGTACAACGCGCGAGTCGCTTTCGATTCGCTTTTTCAGAACTGGTAAGTAATTTTACTGGTTTCAATGAAGCGGTTCAGGTTTTATCAGTTCACAACTCTAGAGTTCTAGACTTTTGCGGTAATTTGATGAAGGGGTGAAAAATATGCCTCATCCTTATGCTTCATTGTGCCATATTTTTTTCAGATCCTATCGAAGTATCCTATTGAAGGTTCTTGAATCTGAATCCCGTAATTTCTCCAGAGGATGTCTTCGCAAAGACCCTGGAATACTTGCCTTCAGTCTGCAGCTCGAAGTGGAAAGCCTTAACTATGCTACCAGGATGACGCAGATGATTGCGAAGGAATGGGACCAATTGGATTTATTCTCTTGTGTTTGTGTGTTCCTGTACTTCCGGTACAATTTTGTACCACAACAGGATCGTGGACAGTGTGTCAAGGGGAATTAACAGCATTTCCTGAGGACATACCTACCTCAGTGACTAATTTGAATGTCTCGAATAATCGCCTCTCTTCTCTGGAACAAAATACATTGATCAAGTTCGTCAATATCAAGAAACTCAATATAAGCAGAAATTTAATTACGAATATTCATAATAAGGCATTTTTCCGGCTTACTGACTTAGAATTATTGGACCTTTCGTTCAACAATCTTATCGAAATTAGTGACAAAATTATTTTCAACAATGTCAAATTAAAATGGTTCTCCATTGCCCATAATAAGAATTTAAAGAACATTCCTCATTTACAAAGTAAATCTTTACAAAGGTTCAATGTCTCTTCTTGTGGAATACAAGAAATGAATGAAACAACATTTCAAGAGGTGGAATCAATAGAAATTTTAGACCTTTCTTTTAATGAAATAAAAGAAATCCGGGATCATACCTTTGATGCACTTACTATGCTCTGTGAGTTAGATGTTAGTAATAATGAATTACAGAGTGCACAATTCATTAACAGTGATTGCTCGCTCTCTCTTACTTATTTAGACATTTCTTCAAATAATATAAGTGTTTTGGACTGGATAACTTTTCAGACATTACTCTCCTTGAAGAAAATTCACTTTCACAATAATCCTTGGAGATGTGATGAACGTATGAAATATGTGTATGAAAACATGTTAAATAATGAGACTACTCTGAATCTACAATGTGTTTCTGCATCAGACAATAAGAAAATCTCATGGCATGAATGGTATTACTCAGTTAACAAAGTAAGTTCTTGTCCTGTTAATTTTGTGACAGATAGTCCCACAACGTGTTCAACAAGTATAATTAATAAGTGCCCTAAAGTCTCCTGTAGTTGTGATTCAAGTTGGGTTGTTTTTTATGTTATTGCAGCCATTATTTGTGTGCTGAATGTAGTATTTATGATAATACTAATTTTTAGAAAAAACACATCTTCCTGAAATAATTCCCAAAGTTAATGAATGAAACTGAACATTTGTCTATTTGATATTGAAATAAATGTTAATTCTACAATTGTTCAAGAAAGACGATGACACAGAAGTGCTTATAAAACCTTTTGTAGACAGTCTGCTTTCTGTCATACATTAATTAGCAAGATAACGAATTTCCATCTTTGAAAGGACTTAATGAAATGGACCAGTTGAAAGTATTTATAAAACAAATCTCAAATGCTGCATTTCAAATAATTGGAGCCCCCTGCTATAACATTCATTCTACCATGGCTATAATAGGAACCATCGAACAGTAATCTTGAGTTAATGATGAATCAAAACAATTGACATGCTCAAATTGGCCCATTATTGAGTTTTCGTCAGGAGTTTTCCTACTTCTACCAATTTTCCAGATCTAACTATTACCGTTATATACATTATAGCCCTTCATGATAATTTTACAAACACAACTAGTGAATATTGTAAAATCTCCATGAGTGATTATACTGAAATGATTATATTCTGTGAGTTTGTTATTGGTAATAGATCTGAAAAAATTGCTTTTGAGATGATCATGGCTCTTTGAAGCCCCATTTTTCCATCTCAAGTTCTCCTCCATTCTTGAAAGAATGAATTTCATCTGTTACAATTAGGTCAGATGCTGTATTAGGTCATCTCAAAATAAAAATTTTACATGAAAGAAAATAGTAATGAAATAATTTATGATTGAATGAGTCAAAGTTTTAAGTTATTTTTTAAAAAAATTAACTAAGGTCAATATCACATCTCCAATACACTGGATTTTCTTTGCAATTTACATGTTAGTTATATAAATTGCATGTAACTCACCAGCAACAACTATTGAAATATTTCATATAATATATTAATTCTGATAAATGTGTGTATATTCAAAATATTTATTGATTTACTATGTATTATTTAACTTGCATCGAGCATTACAGAATTATATATATTATATAGTTGTTTTGAGTTCAAATTGCTGATCTGTTTAAATAGAGAATACAGTTTCAAGTAGAGATCCTTAAACCGCTAAATATCAATAGTTAGTTGTAATTTTTCGTTTCCACAAATATCAGTGCCCATAAAAATACATCAGTATCATTTGAACATATTAAATTTGTGTTTTTATTTACTTCCAAAATTTTGAGATGGCAAATCCCATGTGACTGGAGAGAGAATGAGGAAGGGTTCAAGTCCTAAACAGATTGACATGGAAGAATCTAATTTACACCATTATTATATTTTAATCATCAATAAAATGTATGAGTAAATGTTTGTTTCATTTGCTTCTTTTTCCATAGTTGTTAAATTTTCCATTAGTTCAGTACTGAATATACACAGTAGTTTAAATAGAGTAAGTGATACAAAATAATTTTTTTTTGAATTCTTCATTAACAGGGAATCAAGAAATCTGGATTCATTTTTAATATTATTGATATCATTGACATATGATTATATGTAATAGTAATAACATAATCATATAGTAATTAGATATTACTTTGAAAATCTGACATGAATTGTATTCAATGTATTCTGTATTTTATTTGTATGCAAAGGTTCCTCACACAGCACTTTCAGATACTGGGTTTTGAGGCCTCAGGGTTGGGCAAGTAGGTCTTTTGGCCCCCTCTCTGCTCTCCAGGATACGTAAACCCTGAAATGTGTAAATTTGGATTAACGCCAGAACACAGTTGCCCCTGGCCTCCTGAACTTCACCACCTTAAAAGTTTTAGAAACCTGGGTAGCCCCACCCCCATCTATCTAAGGACTCTGAGGATGGTCAGACGCGAGATATATTTTATACACCAACATGCTCTGCATCATCCCTCTCCATTTGGACCCATCCTACACAACCCCATCCCATCCTGTCTCTCCTACCATGTTTATTATGGCCATCATTGCTACTGGCAGCTGTAATCAAGTGCACTGTTCCCAATAATCTTCTACTACCTAAAAATGTTGACCGTCAATTATTCAAAACCCAATTGTATGGACATTGTAACAATGTTAGTAGATTTCCTCACTGTTTTCAAGATACTCCCAGCAATCCAAAAAGAATGCCTACTTAAATTTTGCTTTAAGTAGTAGGAAAGTAGAAATAGTGTTAGTTTTGAACTACATGAAATCTCATGTAGACAGAAATTTTGCTTATGTTTTGAAGGTCATGTAAACAAAATTTCATTAAGATCAGAAAAAAATTGAAATTTTCAGATAGAGGCAAATAAAAAACATGCTTATTTATGTGATAAAAAATACTTATCTTGACCTAACTATCTTTTCTGTGACTTTATTCAATATTCCACAACATTTTTTCTTTGTTTCTGACAGTATTTGTAGAGAATTCAACAATATTAATTGTAAATAAAAGCATGATGGATTGGTATTAAAATTCTTTCAACAGCTTAGCACTGTACATGGTGAGTGAAACCTGCTTAAACTAGCCATCTCAATCACCTCTATTATAAGCCTTTTTCTTGAAGTGGAACCAATTGTATACGAAATCTTCCGCGGCTCGAATCCATAAATTCTCGGCTATCCGGGAGACGCCGCGCCTGAGTGACTGCCCTGAGAAAGCCTGCAACATGTCAGGCGAAACGTCGGCCTTCCAGCCAACGACGCGGCGTCTCCCGGATAGCCGAGAATTTGTGGAACCAATTGACTTTTTCATGAAACACATGTAAATATTCCCTCTTTTCAGCAGCCACCTGGCTACATGGCCAATAACCAGACACACTTCGTAGATTGACCTTAGTAAGCAGAAACCATCAGTGATGTTGAACTGAATAATTAGGTAATGCTTGCAATCCACACCCCTATCATTTACAAAAAGTAATTTGTGGTGCAACAGAATGGCACAAACTTTCTCGAACTAGTTAGTTTTCTAATTTCTTTCATCTGGGCCAGTTTTACAATCTTGTGCCATCCTCTTGCCAGCTGCTATCTATTGCTGCTCAAAGTAAATTTTTTTCAAAGTTTTCAATCTCCTAATGGCAGAACCAAAATATTATTTTAAGAATATTAAAGAAGAGTCAAATCTTGTCCTACATTGCAATTTTTGTTGAAAACTTTGAAGCCCTTTTTAGGAAAATAGCGTTTAAGCAATGCAAAATTTCAAGCTCTTTATCACATAAATCTTTTGAGTTTTCGAAAAACTTTATTTAAAGTCATTTGAAGCACTCCACTCACAAATTCAATCATGTGTACAAATCTCCAGAAATAGACATATTAAAAGTGTGAGTAATATTTTTAAAAAAAAGTCATTTGTGTAATTTTTGGAAAAAAAAACAAAAGAGTGCATCAAAATGAATTTTATGTCATCTTAAACAGTGCAATTAGCACTATCCGTATGCAAAGTTTGAAGAAAAAAATTGAAGCCTTTTTGAAAAAATGGCATTATAGCTTTTCTGAAAATGTGAAATTTTGAGCTCATTTTCCCAGGAAACTTTTGAGTTTTTGAGAAACTTTATACATCATTTAAAGTACATTTACACATAAATGCAATAATATAAACAAATTACCTAATGCAAATAGAATCAATGTGAGAGATAAGTCAAAAATTTATATATTTGTATTTTTTTTTAAACAAAGGAGTAGAGCAATATGACGCTTATGTCATCTCAATGAGTACTTTTAACCAAAAGTTTAAAGAAAAAATTTGGAGTCGTTTTTGAAAAAATATTGTTTCTGTTTTTTTTTTAAATTTGCACGCAATATTGCACGAAAATGACTACAATTTTCAAAAAACTACATGACCTTAATAAGTGAACTAATTATGGACAACAAATTTCATTTGAAGGAACAACCTCTATTATCAATTTTGTAGCTGTAGGAAGTTGCAGAAAATATTCATACTTTTGTAATGATCAAAAATTCAGAGTTAACAGTGCAAATTGTACCTATTATAAGTGTACTGTACTCTATTCTTACAAGAAATTTAAAGAAAAACTTTGGAGCTATAGGGCTTTATGTAAAGTACCTCCCAAAATTAATTAATGCTTTTCAAAATCGGAGTGCTTGGACTCAGACAAGAACAGTGAGGGTTTTTTTAATTTGAGAAAAGTCCTACGTATGGTTTAGGCGCTAGTGTTGTTCACATACATTGGACGAATGGACGTTTTGCCGTCAATCAATTTTTCGGTATCAAAACACAAAGCATGGATTCTGCTACACCACGTGTTGGAGGACTTTTTCTAAATTCAGCAACTGGATTAATCTACTTTTTCGTTATCAAGATTTAAGAGTTTTTCAGCCAAAAATTTGCTGTTTTTTGCGCAGCATTACATAACTTTTTCTTTACAGCATAAGCAGTAGTGAGAAAGTAAACATAATTTTCACAATGAAAACAATTTGTATCTTTTGTATTGTGATCTATATATTAAAATTATTGATAATTAAAGTCTGAAAAAATTGGTGATGCTGACTGCACCTAACCATTTTTTCCTTTCTGCTTTTCTCTACTAAGATACAAAAACAATTAATTTATAATTACAACAGTGATGTGGTAACTCAACTGAATCTGGATGTGAAATCAAGTGGTGAGTATCGTGCCAGTCGTCTGATTTCTTGGCTGTTGTCTACTAGATTGAGCACCAGGTAAATGGGGTGGTTCCCAAGCCTGTATCTGCAACTTAAACTGTTTATTGTTTTTCAATCGTTTTTATTTGTAGGTCATTGTAAAGGATTGTATAGGAATAAACCAAGGGGCATTTGCAACGGTATGTAACAATTTAGATTGAAATCCTTGTAGAATTTTGATGTACAAGAGGCTTGCAGTACCCCATAATTGGATACCACATGTCCAAATTTGCATTAACTGTACTTTGTATAGCAAAATCTTGTTTTTAAGAGTCATAGTTGATTTGGGCCCCAGTTCATTGTTCTAAACTTCAGTTCCATTTATTTTCTTTTTGTAATTATGTGCTTTTTACATGTTAGTCATCTGTCAAGATGCATCCTAAGTAGTTAATGGTATCTGCCTGTGGCAATAATTTATTATTCATGAACAATAAAATTGACAGACAATTTGTACGTGAGGGAAGGAAGCATTGACGAGAAAATTTCTGACTCTTGTGTGTATTATTGTGGATGACGCATGGCAAGAATCTACTTGTCACTTTAATTGTATTCCAAATTATACTATAAATCAGTTTTGAATATTTTCTTTCATCATATAAGATTCAATCAATTGACAAATATATATTTTAAATTATTGTCAACATTTATACATAACTTTTTAATTTAATTTGTAATTTCTTTTGTGTAAGACTGAATAAAATGAATTATTTCAGCAAGTGTTGAAGTATAATAATACAATACCAGCTGGCGTAACACCTCCCCTCCCCCCCTTACCCATAATGTATAGATACTCCTTTAGTCAAGAGTCATAGCATGAGGGAAAATGATGCTACAATGTCACGTATTTATATTACATTCAACATCTCAAATTATGTGAAACAGTAAAATAATATTATTTTATTACAGCTTGTTTCCTGCTAGTATTTCAGCCAAATATGCAAAAAATTTCTTCATTGAATAAAAATTACAAGCAGAGCTGGAAATTACAAGGAAAAAGCAACAACATATCTTTAATTTTTTTTAACTCAAAATTTTATATAAAAATGGCATTTGTGCCTATTAAATTCAGTTTATTGTACTCTATCCTTCAAAAAATTTACAGAATAAACGTGAAATGATTTTTGAGAAAATCTTGATAGGGTAGTATTGGAAAATTGCTATGATTTGGCTCAAAATTATGTGAACACTACTAATATTTTGAAAAAAATTACATCAAATTATTAAAAGTTTTAATTTAAAGGAATAGACTGCAATAAGAAAGAAATTGTGAACTTCAGCAATGGAGAAGAAGAACAGGTTCAAAAAAATAGTTGCTTCTGCAACTTTTGAAGTTTCAGAAGTTTTACTGAAAATCATACTTTTACTATGTTTATAGTGGCACCATTTTCTATTTAAGCAAATTTATAGGTAAACTTGGAGAACTACTTGAACTTTTAAGAAAAGTTTCAGAATGTCCTTTGGACTTCATACAAAGTATCTCCGAAAATTAAACATCCCTTTCAGATTTAGAGGACCTCAAGTTCTGTATTCTGGCACTGATGGCCCAGAGGAAAGTCGCTCACCTTTCACCAAGGGCATCCGGTTGCGATTCCTGGACAAGCACAAGTGAAATTTGTTTCAAAAAGACAAGTTTGCCTATGTCAGAGGGGCTAGTTCAACTCCTGTGAAGCTTCCGAATCCCTACCCTTATT